CCAGCTTCTATATAACTTTTATCTGCCTTTACCGACACCTTTAGCTGTACAGGTCCAGCTTCTATAAAACTTTTATCTGCCTATACCGACACCTTTAGCTGTACAGGTCCAGCTTCTATAAAACTTTTATCTGCCTTTACTGACACCTTTAGCAGTACAGGTCCAGCTTCTATAAAACTTTTATCTGCCTTCACATCTCCTTATTTCTTTTCAGAAGATTCAAGGGTATTCTTATTGGGTTTTTTTCTGTTCATCTTATGCTTTAGTGACATGTTATCTATACATATAAAACGTCACTCAAAAAGAAAAACCAAAATACATACAACTTTCCACTTTGAATACAGATAACAAAACTGTACAATCCTTCAACTCTTCTGTTTTTTTTTGTTTTTTTATCAAAGTTTCTATGTAACTTCTCTAAAAAATCTCCAAACAGTTTTTCCATGTTTTAAAGTGAATTCTTAAAGTTAAATTCTTTACTTTTTGGAGACATTCTCTCAACAAATCCTCTATAAAGCTGATACTAGCTTTAAAATATTATTGAAAATAAACCATGAGTCATTATAGATATAACCAATAATAAAGAAGAGAAAAAACAGACAAGTTCAAGGATTGTAGTGTTATTTTTTATTTACATATACCTTTAATAAAAATGTTTACAGTGTTCATTAATGAAAATCTTAATTTAATTTCCCTAAAAGGGGGCTGAAGGCTGCCAAGAGGGTCACCTGTTTTAACCAGTAGTGTGTTGTCTGTCAGTCAGTCAGTAGACACTAAAATGACATCACATGACAGTACAAATCAGAAGAAGAATTATGCACTCTGTAAGCTACAACACAGGATGACGTATGAACTAGCAAGAAACGAATATTTGTTACTGTTTATTTTGGTTTTATTCACTTTTCAAACAGAACACTTTCGGGGACCCTGCAGAAGTACATCTAGTTATAGTCATATTTTATAAAGGTTTAAGGATGATTTTACTTTGTAATCTTTGGAAACATTTACTAAGTTAACTAGAAACATTTGAAGTGTCACTCCAGTTTAAGGACTTGATGTTTTACAACTTACACCGACGCTTGTTACATCAATTTGCAGGTGTTCAAGAAACCATGGCCAGGTATTATGAGAACTATTTACAATAATGAAGAACAATTTGAGACAACGTACTTTAAGAAGTTTCCAGGTTACTACTGTACAGGAGATGGTAAGATGAACATGCTCGGTTTTTAATGCTACATTATATTCTACGTATTATACATGCAATTGTTCTGATAATTATAGAGATAAGAAGCTAGAATATCTAAAGATCCTTATATAAATATCTTTTGTACTTGGATGACTGCAGATTATTATGGTCATAACAGCAAAAACTAATTTTTCTTGAAATGTTATTTGTTGTATAGAATGATCATGTGTTTTTGGAGTCTTACTAGGTTACTGATGAATTTCCTGATGAAACCAAACATTCAACACAAGAGCCATCATTAAATCGTTGCTTTCTGTGTCTTATTTTGTTTTTATCAGTGCATGTAAGCATGTCAGTTTTTGACTGTGAAATCATAAAACAATTTTTAATGTGTAGAAGAAAGATACATTTTGGTTGAAGGTTTTTTATTGATGACAGCATGATCACTATATTAGGATGAATGTTATAGAGATTGAAAGTTTTCACTGATCTTTGTTATTTTATATCTACTTAAACAGATTTTCACATGTTAAATCGGGTGTAAAATATACTTCAGTGGTGTGTTAACATTCACATTATTTCTAATCTATACACTTCAGGAGCTAAGAGAGACGACGATGGTTATTATTGGGTGACAGGCAGAGTGGACGATATGCTCAATGTCTCTGGTCATCTTTTGTCCACTGCAGAAGTAGAGTCAGCCTTGATTGAACATGATGCTGTTGCTGAATCAGCTGCAGTGTCTCACCCACACTCTGTAAAAGGAGAGTGTCTGTACTGTTACATTGTATTGAAAGATGTGAGTGAAATCATAGGTGTACTTTAAACCTGACGTAATACATCATAAGGTTATATGTAAACCTGACATAATACATCATAAGGTTATATGTAAACCTGACATAATACATCATAAGGTTATATGTAAACCTGACATAATACATCATCAAGTTATGTGTAAACCTGACATAATACATCATAAGGTTATGTGTAAACCTGATATAATACATCATAAGGTTATATGTAAGCCTGACACATATAACCTTATGATGTATTATAAACCTGACATAATACATCATAAGGTTATATGTAAACCTGACATAATACATCATCAAGTTATGTGTAAACCTGACATAATACATCATCAAGTTATGTGTAAACCTGATATAATACATCATAAGGTTATGTGTAAACCTGACGTAATACATCATCAAGTTATGTGTAAACCTGACATAATACATCATCACATAATTGTATAAATACTGTTGATAAAATAAAATTCTGTTTGATTAGGTTTTAAATCCTTCTGTACTCTGGATGTTTTATCAAATATCAAGAAAGGAGTTCAGTCAGTTGTTAAAAATTTGCTACCTGGTTACACTGAAACTGTGGTGACAAGTAATGTTTTATGCATGGCATTATACATTTAAATGGAAATCATTGTTCAGTCTTTCAGTAACAAAATATTAACCACAGAGTATTCTGTAGAAATGATCATGCTTTAGCTTGTTATGACTGCTTCAAAAGATGGTGTCTAATTTGACATTTCAAGTAGTTGGTTCCATAGGCTTAGTGTAGCAACAGTATGATTCTGTTTAGACAGTTCTAATGTTAAGACACTTTAACTGTCAGGAATTAGTTTTTAAGTACTGATCTGTAACAACAGTATGATTCTGTTTAGACAGTTCTAATATAAAGACACTAACTGTCAGGAATTAGTTTTTAAGCACTGATCTGTAGCAACAGTATGATTCTGTTCAGACAGTTCTAATCTAAAGACATTTTAACTGTCAGTAATTAATTTTTTATGTCAAGTGAAATGTGCTAAGAAAATTAACTATTTTTTTATAATCACGAGGTATTAGTGTTAATGGGTGAATGAGTTATTTAAAGATTTCATAATGAAGTAATCAACTAAATTTAATAATTTATACCTGTTTTATTTTTAGGGATATAATTTCAACAAGAAACTTACCCAAGAGTTAAAACAGAATGGTAAGTACTTGCTTCTTTGATCAGTCACACTTCACATTATAATTGTTTACATGGTATGTTGGGTATTTACTACCGTGGTGTCATATAATATACATATTTTGAAGTATTTAGATATACTTTAATAGTTGTTTGTCAAGATGTAATACTGTATTTGTAGAGCTTTTTAAGAAACTTTTCATTTTGTAGCCTTTTCCTATTATAGTTTAAGAATTTTTATTTACCTTTCAGTGCGACACAAAATTGGACCGTTTGCTACTCCAGAGTTTTTACATCATGCACAAAATTTGCCTAAAACCCGATCTGGAAAAATTATGCGTCGTGTACTTCGTAAGATTGCCAGAAATGACAAGGACCTTGGAGACTTGAGTACATTAGCAGAAGAAAACGTGATAGAAAACTTGTTTAACACACGCCCAGAGGGAGCGTAAATCTTCTGTTTAACACACGCCCAGAGGGAGCATAAATCTTAGTAGCATTATGACGAATTTCATTTTACCTTCAAATCATGATTATATTTTTCTGTTATTTGTTACATTTTTACACTTTTTCCTTTTTTTTAAATCAAAATGTGTTTTTATTTAATCTCATGTTGCTCTTCCAATATTTATAAAAGAAAGCTACCGACAAAGAACTCTTTCAAATAGGGATCAGACAAGAACATTTACTTATATAAAACCTCAAAGTTACACATCTTCTAAAAAAAAGTTTTGAAAAAAATAGGTAATTTCATAGACCATATAAAACTTTCTTTTATATACCACAGTTTTAATTATATCATAGATCATAAATATCACAGCCCCCCAGTGGCACAGCGGTATGTCCGTGGACTTACAACGCTAGAAACCTGTGATGGGCAGAGCACAGATAGTTTTGTGCTTAACTACAAACAAACAAACTAGATATCACAGATTTAAGAATATCAAACTTACTATACAGTATTTCTTCTTATTATTATATTGTGAGGTGCAATAGAGAAATTAATTAGTATAATGCAAAAATCATGTCTTCTGTTTCAAATAAAATATTTGTATTTTGGGTTTTGATGTTTGAAATTCATACAAATGTAGTCTGTGCTGAGACTGATGATTAACTTCTAGGAATTCAGAATATTAGTTATTTTCAAGTTATTTCTTTTTTTACAACATTGTAGAATTTTGTTTATTGTTAGATGTTTGTAATCAATAAAAAACTATTCGTGAATCATTTTTAAATTGTAAATAATTATAGATACCAATAATCTAACCAGTGAAATGATGAAAAAGTAAATATTGAATTTTAATGTGTTTATTCTTTTTTTTTAAATAACTTTGTTACTTGAGAAAATGCCTACTGTGAATAATGGGTTGCAATGTTATTAAAGACACGCTTTATTTAGTGTTTCAGAGTCTGTTATTATCTCTAATAGCCTATTTCACAAATTCTTCATTTAGAGAAGGATGGGTGTCTGTTTTTTTATTAATTGTATACTGTTACTTAGACAAGAAATGTGTTATTTACTATTCTACTAATATTTATTTTGAGATTTTTTGGCATAGAATAAAACATACATCTTGATTAATTCAGTTTATTTCTTGATCTGGGACAGATGTGTAAACACGATTGTATAAAAACTTCTACTGGGGTTTAAACCATTTTATATATGATGTAAATCTCTGGTATTTTGGGCCCAAGTTTTACAAACAAAAAAACACCAGTCACTCAAAGTTATTGGTACTTGTAGTTATTCAAAAGCAAGACCCGTATTTTAAGAAGAAGAAGAAAAACGAATAATATACAAATCAATGGATTCTATATTAGTTACACGTATTTTCTTAAAACAAGAAATATAAGTAGCTGAGAGGTTTCTGCCAAAGATCATAATTACAAAAGAATGGTGCAAATAGCGTGTCCAAACTTGTGCTTTTAAGATAGCACGATGAAACATTACAAAGCTTTCTAGAAGTTTCTGAAACGACCTAAAAGTTAAGACTTATTTTTTGTGATTTTTTTATATAATATACATAGTATAATTCAAGTGTTATTGTAATATCCGGTTTATTAATTAGGCCAAACAGAGTGAATTCAAGTTAATAACTTCTACAGTCATTAGACGAGCGATATTTTGTAAACAGTAGACGAAGAGGAGAAAAATTTTCTTGTTTCAAAAGATGCAGGATGTACTTGTTTTTTAAAGAAATTAAAGCAAGTCTTATTGTTTTTGGTCACTGTCCGATGTGCAGTTTCTTTAACCCGATATTTTTTAAAGTCACTTGATACCTGGTTTGATATTTAGGTTTTTCTTTTTAGCATTCAACTTCACCGTTAAATTAACAAGCAAGAGAAATGATGCATCTAAATAGTCAAACGTTTTTGTACCTTTATAGATTTTACCGTAAAACAAAATTATATCCCTACCATTGCCGTACTTGTTTTTTTCCAAATAAATCTAATTATTGAATAAAACAACCCTATTCTCCACCTATATATAATATTCGACAAGGTTGAATCTGATCCCACAGTTTGTTTCTTTAGTAAGTTCAAGTATTTAAACTCATCATAATTATAGCACGGTTGATTTTCAATTAATTCGTTGTTGTTGTTGTTTGTCTTAGAGCAAAGCCACATGGGGCTATCTGTTGTGTCCACCGTGGAGAGTCGAATCCCGAATTTATCGTTATGTGTCTGTAAACTTAACGCTGTCCCACTGGGGACTTACAGTTGAGATAATGTTTTAATTATTGATGAATAATTTCATTACGCCTAGACTTTCAGGGACAGTTTTTTAATGAATTAACAATCTTCACATTATATTATTACAACCGAAATATAATTAACACCAAATTCTATTATAAAACTAAAATACCTTATCTAAAAAAATATGTTTTAGCCCTATTTCATTAAATACTGTAAAAAGAGAAGCTAAACCTGAAACGTGACAACATCGTTAATGGCAAATACGACGTACTTCATACATTATTTACATTATTGTGTTGAAAATATTAGCACACTTTGCGAAATAATTTGGTATTTCTGGCAGTACTACTAATTTTAAGCAACTAACCAGAAGGAAGGGGGCCAATCATTAGCACCCTCGTTAAGGGGATGACTGACTCCTATAATGCACCCACAGCATAAAGTGCAGGGATTACTTTGGGCTTTCCAACTTCAAAATCCAAAGCTCTACTGGGTCAACCCGCACCATAAATAATAAAGTAAAGAAAAGGGCCTTTAAAACTAATAGCACATTAGTTTATAAGAATTCACAGTTCTTTAAAGTTTATATCTACAAAAATATATATAACTGACATTTTTGAAGTGCCAAGGAAACTAGTTTGAAAAATCAGCATTACATATTTAACCAACAAAGGACGATATTTTATACATTCTATCAAGTTATTTTTTGCTAAGCTAAATTTTTATTAATATAAGAGTTGACTCAAATATATTTAAAGTATATTTATGAGAAGAGAGTAAAATTATTGTTTTTCAGCAGTAATTCTAATAGAGAGAAATCTATATTGAACTTCTTAGTGCTGCCCTCTATCATCAAAATTACGGCTGACGAAGCACGCAAGGCAATGATTATAGCGTAAGAAATTTTCGGAGGAGGTAATTAATATTAACTTTTCATCAAAACAAGCTATTTAACATAATATTGCGTTTTGTAGTTTCTTTGAAATATGTTATTAATTGCTATTAAAACTGTAAGCTGAAATGTTGGGTGACCTGAAAAATAAATAGAAGGCTTTATAATGATTGGAATTACGGTTTTTTGTTTCTTACCTAGTAGTAAGTACTAAAAGTAGTATTAATTAAATGTTTTTTTCATACAATTTGTAACTTATGACAGTTGGAGACAGGTCAATACAGCCTAAGATTTTGTTTCTTATTCTTTATTACATATTTATGTTACGCATCATGTGAATTAAGTTATGAATTTATTTTGCTAGCGTTCATACATAATAAATAAATGCATTTGCTGAAACTAAAAGGATAAAAAAATCACATATTAAATCGTTTGTGCATAAAGTGCGTAACTCACTCGTTGATAATCATATCGCAAGCGGTTAGAATTACCTCAAAATAATTTATTCTTTTTGGATGGGACTGAGTAGTCACACATTACATGTATATATATATATATATAGTCTTTACACGGACAGTTTGTTAGTCTGCTATTTTTTGTTGATTACTGTATTTTGAAAATAGTAGTAGTTTGTTTACTTACATTCTAAAAATAAAATTGCATTTGTTGTACTGCTTGTTTTTTAATTTTTGTCAGTCCAGTTTTATCACAGTATGTAATATATCTTAGCTGATTATTTGTTCAATTACCCATCCACCTACCCATCTTGCAGATTTTGTCTTTTATTTTGAAGATGGCAGAAAAATATGACTGCATCCCAGATGTTGATATTGACACAGGAAGGTTCAAGTACATTTTGATCCGAGTACATCCTCATGGTCAGCAGGAAGCTCTGAAATACTTGGTCCGGGGCTATCAGTGGGCAGCATTTCATGGAGACATTTATGATGAAGTCTCACCAGAGTTGTCAAAACTAGGCCTAGTTTGTGAATGTGTTGGCGGAGGGCGTATCATCCATGTGCCTGAGCAGAAGAAAGTTCATGTGTTTGGATACTCGCAAGGATATGGACGTGCTGACCATGCCAAAACATGTGATCTTTTGAAAAAAAAGTTTCCTGCCTATACAGACATCACTTGGTCAGATGAGGGTTATTGAACTTTGACTTTTAACCAGAGATCTTCAAGACTACCAAAATGGTCTTTCCCTTTGGATAGTTTTCCTGAGAACTACATAAGCTTACTTTTTTTCAGCAATAATAACATGTTGCCTAACAGTGAATTAAGGTGTGTTGTTATTTCTAACAGTTTTAAAAGATTGCCTTTGCGTTATTACTGAATTAATGCAGATTATCCAAAATGCTATTATTTATTATTCCCACATGATGTAACGTGGCTATCAACAATATATAGGAAGTTTAAAGGAATATCTGTGCAATCTATAATGAAAAAAAAGAGCATAAATTTGAACATTGTACATTTCCTTATATTTTGGTCCTAAAAGGGACAATTACAAAAGAATTGTCATTCTTCCTGGTATTAATTAACTTGTAGAAGTTAAATATTCAGTGATCCATTTTTGAAACAAAAAGAGTTGACCATATTTTGTTTACTTACAAATATCTTTTTTTTATTGAGATACTTAGCTGATCCTAGAGTGGCAAATGTGGTTGCTAACTAACATTTAATACCAAGCTGAAATGACTTTAAAATTTTATATCCTAAATTAAATGTGTTGTAATGAAAAAATCTAATTCTGTGTGACTTGCTGTGTCATGCATTTTCAGAAATGATGCAATCTAAAACTCAGTCCATTTGTTACACAACTCATTATAATCTGAAGTGTAATGCAAGTAGAGAAACAGTAAACTGTATAAGTTACTGTACTATAGAAGAAGCAAAATTAGTGGATGAACTTGGCAACTGCTATATATCTCATAATTAGCATTAGCAAGTTTATCTTAGTGTTAACTCAAGTGCAGCATTTATAAAAGTTTGTAACTGTTGTTGTTGGCAAGTTAAACTTCCGGTGAATTCTACATTCTGTGCCTATCCTGCATGCTTTCCGAGATAAAGTTAGAATGTAGCCTGTGACATCATTAGTATTGATTTCATAATGGTGATGTATTTGTAGAAGAAGCATTAATAGCTGGGGGTTTTGTAGAACAAGGTTGGTAGTGTTGAATGGAAAGTTAGAAATTATAAAGATATATAATTCTGGCTTTCAAGAAATTACAAAGTTGTTGAGTGTGGGTTTAGTCAAAATTGTATTATGATTAATATTGTTGCATGAAGATTATAACAGTGCAATTAAGATATGAAAAGTGTATAACAAATGTTACGTCACACTACTTCTAATATATAACTTGTCCATCTAGTTACTAGATCGTTAAATATATATACCTGCTTTATTTTGTCGTGTGTTAGCTTGCCAGTTTCACGAAGAACTGTTTAAACTCTTAATGTTCCCTCAAGCGTCATGTGATGGGAATATCAATTAATATAGAACACAAAGCTCTGTTCAAATTGTAAGAAGCTGAATAATCTTTACTTTAAATTGTGTGACGTGTTTATGTTTTCTGGTGAAAACATACAATAAAATTGTAGAGTTGAAAACAAATCATGTAAACTATTAGCTACACATACAGTCATAAAATTGATAGTTTCATATGTAAAGTTTAACTTTGTGCTTATTAGTAAGATAACAGCATTTTATATAGAGGTCATGCATTTATCTTGTAGTTGATGCTTTCCATACTGCTTTGATTCAATGTTGTCACTATGTTTAAACATTAAAATAATCAACTATTATTTTAACTTCATTTAATTTATGATGTAAATTTTCATGTAGCTTGTAAAATTCTCTTCTTAAGTAGTCATTGAAACAAATTTGTTATACAAGTTGAATTTTTAACTAGGGTTAGATAATTAATCACAATTTATATTATCTTGGCACTTTACATTAAATTAGATAGTTATAGTATTTTAACATTAATGTCACAAACTTGCTTTAAAGCCCCTTTTATGATCACAGTTATATTGTTCTTGTACGCTTTCAAAATTTCTCTGACCAGTTTCGTTAGGTTTAATCATAAACTTTGGATTGTGAGTGAAGTTAGCTTAAGATTTACAATACGTATTTACTAAGACAAGTTTTACATTACACTAATGGCAAGTTTATTTTGTTACTTATATTAAATTACAATATTTTGTAAATATTATGTGTGCACTCTAGTGTCTTTAATAAGCACTATTAAAATCTCTCCACTTTTCTATTCTTGGAGTATTAGTAATGGATGAAAATCTCCACTTTTTTTTACTCTTGAAGTATTAGTAATGGATGAAAATCTCTCCACTTTTCTATTCTTGGAGTATTAGTAATGGATGAAAATCTCTCCACTTTTCTATTCTTGGAGTATTAGTAATGGATGAAAATCTCCACTTTTTTTTACTCTTGAAGTATTAGTAATGGATGAAAATCTCTCCAACTCTTGAAGTATTAGAATTAGACAAAAACCTCTACAATTGTTTCACTATTAAAGCATTACATCAATGAATCTCTATACAGTTTACAACACCACATGGTATTTTTATCTGTCCATTGTGATCGTGAATTATACTGTTGCCTTGGAGGATTAAGTTATTATTTTCCATATGAAATACAGTTGCTTGTCTATTTTTTAAGGTTTGTTTCAGTAAGTTCAAATTTCTGTTGTTACCAAAGCCCAATTCTGAATTTACTGAAAAGTCCAAAATGTTGCAATTTGAACCGATACTGTTTTGTCGATAAAAGATGCAGATGTAATGTTTCTCTTCTTTATATGTACTTGTAAAATCTTCATTATATGACATTGAACTTTGCATATGCTGTAGCATTAAGGAAAGTCCTCAATTTTCAAGAGCTTTTAACATAAAACTGTGATTTATATCACTGTATAACTATTTTCTTTACTTCTGATAATAACTTTGTACGGGATAAATTTCATCAATTTAAACTTTTCATACTGGAAATTGTTTATACTTCTCTTTCACATTTTGCTTGTATCAAATATGATAAAATAAATTTCAAGTTTCTCTGCTTGTTTAGTTGTGACTGAGTTAACTGTGATTTTTAATATACATACACACATGATGCCATGTGACTGACCTAAATACCTCTATGGATGACATTTAATGATGCTCTGACCTCTTTTTCATGTCACATGACCTGTCCATTTGTGTTCTTCTTTAGCATTCTGACTGATTTGTGTACTTTCTTGTGAGATAATATACTATAAATTAGTGTATAATAATAATAAAAATAAATGAAGACTCCTTGAAGTTGTTCCTTTGGTAAAAAAATAGTAAAAGTCTCAGTTTTTGTGTGGAATTTGTTAAAAAAAAAGTTAATGCCTTAGCTATTACATATACTGATTAAGCTGCAAGAAACTATAAAACCTTCCACCAATAGCTGGCTGGTGCTTATTTGGCTGTGTACTGATTGAACTACAAGAAACTATAAAACCTTCTGCCAATAGCTGGCTGGTGCTTATTTGGCTGTGTACTGACTGAACTACAAGAAACTATAAAACCTTCTGCCAATAGCTGGCTGGTGCTTATTTGGCTGTGTACTGATTGAACTACAAGAAACTTGAAATCTTCCACCAATAGCTGGCTGGTGCTTATTGGGCTGTGTACTGATTGAACTACAAGAAACTTGAAACCTTCCACCAATAGATGGCTGGTGCTTATTGGGCTCTGTACTGATTGAACTACAAGAAGCTATACAGTCTTCTGTCAAAAGATATCTTAAATATTGCTTTTGGACTCTGTACTGATTAGACTTCAAGGAAGTATAAAGCTTTCTGCCAACAGGTGGCTGGTGATTACTGATTCTACCCTGATTAAACTACAAGAAATTATAAGCATTTCTGCTGACAGCTGTTACTAGTTGGACTCTGTACTTGTTGAACTACAAGAAACTATAAACCCTTCTGTCAACAGACATTTTTTTGGACTCTGCATTAATTTAATTTCAATCAACTATAAACACTTCTGCCAACAATTAGCTATTGCCTTTTACACTTTGCACCGATTGAACTACAAAGAACATTAAACTATTGTTCCAACAGACATCTTGAACTGATTTAATTTCAAGAAACAATAAACTCTTCTGCCAACGATTTAATGCTTGTTGGATTTTTCACTGATTTAGTTTCCAATAAGTTTAAATACAATACAAAATAACTATCGGTTTATCTATATAAAATCACTTGTCTCCACATACTTCGTGTTTTCTAAGAGTCGCTGTTTATTGTAAGCCTTTATTTGCATCAAAAAATATTGTGAAATATATATGTTATTTAAAATAAATAGACACCTTTGATAGAAAAAAAAATCACACTGTGGCGGTTGGTGCTATTTAATACTCTCGGCATAACAACCAATAAATACTAAGGCAGATATGTGTAAAAACTGTGGGTTTTGTACTTACAAGCGTGACATATGGCATAGTTGTAGACCATGGCCCAGAGAATATTTCTAAAAATTGAGCCATCGCGAAAAAGGCCTACGTTACCTTTGGCGGCCGTTTTAAACAATGGCTTCCAAAATTTTTGATGACATTGAAAAATCGGCATTATAATACAGCTAAATGCTAAAAAGGCCTACGTTACCTTTGGCGGCCATTTTAAAAAAATGGCTTCCAAAAATTGTGATTACATTGAAAACTTGGCATTATATTACAGCTAAATGCTAAAAAGGCCTACGTTACCTTTGGCGGCCATTTTAAAAAATGGCTTCCAAAAATTGTGATTACATTGAAAACTTGGCATTATATTACAGCTAAATGCAGCCATACACAATAATATCATTCAAAAACATGATATTCTTTTATTTACGATAGAAACAACAAAATATATATCCAAAACTTCGGTAAAAAAGTGTTGAGTCAGCAAAATATGAAATTGTAAACTAACATAAACTTTTAACAGACATTGGCTCTGGTGCCGCGCGTTTTACAGGTCACAATCCAATCCGCCACAAGGTTGACACGATGCAGTGCACTTTAATGCTGCTTTCTTGCAAATGCGGCGAATGAATTATCTTGATGCAGTGTTGGCTTCAGACAAAGTGATCCACTTAGGTCTCCAGTTCGACGGAACAATCCATCACCAGTTG